GCTACCGAGAGTAATGACCCAGTTAGCTTTGCACAATGAGTCTGAGGAGGCAGAGCATGAGTGGCAAGACGGTGGCCTGTGCCATCGCTCCTCTCTTGCTTTAGAAAGCAGGCAGAGGGCTGCTAGCCTGCAAATGATCCTCTCCATGGACAAACGTACAGTGAAGAGACAGGGAGACAGGAAAAGCATGTGAATTTGACCTTGTGCTTTCTGCAAGAGTCACTCTAAGGTACACGCTGCCTACAAAGGGGTGACATTTCCTTTGCACCAAGGGAGCAGCAAGCAGGCTGAGAGGCAGAACAGCTCTGTTCTCTCCAGGCCCCCACACAGTGGACTGATGCAGCTGGAAACCAGTCTGTGTGGTTATCTGCATTAATTTTTAACCAAGCCCATTCCTCCATACTGCTCAGCACACGGCTGGGCAGCAGTGGAGGTGCCCTGGAGAGGAACACACAGCGGCTCTATGGTCTCAGAGGTGCAGCACTGATGTTTCAGAGGCTGTGCTCTCAGTTGTTGGGTTAAAAAAAAAAGTAAAGAAAGGTTTTCAGAATGTGTGTGAATTTGAAAGAATTTGAGCAATTCAACCCTTTACTGGTGGATCTGTGCACTTTGAACATGAGCTAATAGACACACCAGCCCTTGCTGGGTTAACAACCACCATTTATTTACAGCTGTGCCCCAAGTAGACAGGTTCTGAGTTTTTCAGTGATCTGAACTCATCCCCACAGCCAGCTCTTTGGTCCCTGCCAGCACTTCAACCCCAAAGGCAACAAGGGGGGTGGCTGCCCATCATCCTCCCATTGAAGGCCATCCCACTGCCCCATCATGGAGTATCCCCCCGACTCAATTTGGGGACAAGCTCCTTGCTGCTCCCTTCACACCACAATATCCTGTCCCCTGTCCATCAGCACACCAAGGGAGCCAGGACCTGCTGATGAGCACAGCAAGTCACAGAGCCACTGAAAACGAGGAGGTAGGAAAACTGATTTGCAAGCCTGCATTTGTTGTGCCCCTGTCTTTTTGCCAAGTACCCCAAAGGGCTCACACATTTTCATTTAGGCAGTGGCCACCACCAAAATAGGCCAAGAAAGGTGCCTGTTGTCTCCAACATGCCACAGGCATCCCTCAGTGTCGCCACCACTCAGCACTCCCTCAAAGGGTGAGAGTTTCTGTGCTTTTTCTTCCCCGAGTCTCACTTGCTTTCAGAACAGAGCCTTCATACCCTAAAGGAGCAAGAAGACAAAATCTGTGAGGAACAAAACAGTGTAACAACGAGCTTTTGTATTCAAGAGACAGCACAAACACACCTACTTAAAATAAAAAATAATTTTAAAAAAAAAGGTTCCCTTAAAATGTTGTAAAATGTACAAATAATAACAGTAAATTGCTGTGTATCTCAGCAGTACCACATTACTGTTTGCTATTAAGTTTGCAATGGATAGCACTTGCTACTTAACAGCATAGTAAATAATCAGGTAACATTGCCATAAAGAGGCTGGATCTGGTTTGCCTCCCACTTACACTGCTTTTATGCCAGTGTGCGCCCATTGACTTAATGGGGTTAATCTTGATTTACAACAGTGCAAATGGAAAGGTGAATTAAAGACCACAGCAGGCAAGCTGGAGAGGATGCTGCATGCAGTGGGCTGGATCCTGGCTGCAGCAACACAGCCCCGGGCTGTGAGCAGCGTCTTCCAGCTGGAGCTGCACAGTTGCCAGTGCAAAGGCAATGTAAATCAGGCTGTGCTAAGCTCTGTTCACAGTGAAAATACACACTGTGCACAGCCGCACAGCACACCATGTCAGAACACTTTTTCCTCACCCCACCTGCTTGCCACGTGTCTCAGGGGCTTAAGAAACATTGCTTGTGTACACCATGAACAACTGGGATGTGCAAACTGGGAAGATATCATTCTGCTCTTTGCCTAAAGGCAACTCACACAAGATCCTAGGGGCACGTATTGGATGTGCAGAAGCTGGAGACAGAAATGGATTAACAACTTTTAGACGTGGGCTTTCAGAACCAGCTGGCTTAAAAGTTGATGCAAACTCTGGTGCATCATTTTAGCATGTGCTGCACAGTCAGATGTAAATCAGCCTTATTCATCAAGCTTGAACTTGCTCTGGTTCATGATTCTTAAGTCACTGACCCCAGAAGCTGAGCATGGACACCCTGCAAATATTGCTGGTCAAGCAGAAGTGTATCTCATATAAGGCACACAATGTACTGAGGTGGACAGCAGGCCCTGCAGGAAGGATATCAGAGGACAGAGGTTTCTTTTGCAGCCAGAGAGCAGATGAGGTAGAGACATAGGATCATAGAATCATTAAAGCTGGAAAAGCCCTCTAAGATCACCTAGTCCAACTACCAGCCCATCCCCACCATGCCCACTGACCACAGCCCTCAGTGCCACATCCACACGGTCCTTCAACACCTCCAGGGACGGTGACTGCACCACCTCCCTGGGCAGCCTGTGCCACTGCCTCACTGCTCTTTCTGAGAAGAAATTCTTCCTCATATCCAACCTGAACCTCCTCTGGCAAAACTTGAGGCCATCCCCTCATGTCCCAAAGCTGTCTCCCCTGAGCCTCCTCTTCTCCAGAATGAACAATCTCAGTCCTCATAAGACTTGTAAAAAGACCCAGATCTGTGTGTCTCCAAGGTCCCCAGGTGCCTGTGAATTTTGGTGAGTAAGCGATGCGGTGCTACTCAGGCCATCCTCGTTTCCCACTTGCAGTTGGAAATCCTGTCAGTTGAGATTTGCATGTATCTTTCTCCTTTGACACACACCAACTGGCTCCCCAGATGCCATCAGACAGCAGAAAGCGAGCTCAGCACCTCATGCCCACCTGATACACAGAGTATTTCCCATCTCCCAGTCACAGTGTGAGCATAGCACAGAATGAGATCCTGCCCCCACCCATCAGCTCACCCGCTCTCTCTGTGTGTATGAAGCCATCTCAGCCTTGCATCCCTGGCACCTCACATCCCTGCCTGCTGCACGTACAAAGCACAGGAGGGAAGAACAAAGCAGAGGGGGTGAGGGGATGTTCTGCCTCTGCTCGGGAACATGAAAAGTCCTGGAGTTAAATACCAACAAAATATTCAGTGTTAATGTTTAATATTGCCAGGAACTTGTCACCTCCGCTTACCGTCTTGGAGCTGCCGCTCTCACAGACTCCCACGTCTGAGCTCTGGGCCTAACATGCTTTCCCATTATACATGAGAAGGAAAGACGAGAAACCCAGAAGTAGAGAGACAGTGACTGCCTCAGTTACAAAGCCAAGGAGGGCTTTTTTTTCCCTTTTTGTTTGCAGGGGAAAAAAATATGACTCACATGGCAGAGCTCCTGAAACCACCACTTTTCGGGGGTTACCTTTTTTAAGCACTCCCTTCCTCACCTCTGTGAGATGCATTTGCTATACAGCAATCTGCAGTGGTGCATGCAGAAATTTGTGTGTTAAAAAATGCACAAACGCCACTTTGCTTGCAAAACAGTATTTCTTATTGCAACTTGATGCTGAGCATCTCCCTTTTGCCACTGGAAGCTCAGGCACTGTGAAACAAAAGGCAGATCTCCTTGCAGTCAGCACACTGTGTATTTCATGCAACTGGCTGGGGCCACCTCACCCACCTCCGTGGTTTCTCTGAAATGCTTTCCTATCCCTCTAGGCTGCATGGTTAACGGGAATTCAGGCTCTTCTCACAATGCAATCAGGCATCTCTCCTGAATTTCTGATTATTGGGAAGGCTGCATGAAACCCAGCTTCCTTAAGCACAGGAGGAATAGCACTGAAAATACAGCTTATCTCCTTGTCCTGCACTCCAAGCCTCTTCTGGTCAGCGCCTTGGCCGAAAGCTCTGGCATCTGCCAAAAACATGCAACATTCTTCTGCTGGTTGGCTCTTGCTATTCCTGGTACACCTTTGCTCTTTTTTTCCCACAGCAACACCCCTGAAAACAACACTCTGCTCAGTCTCTGCAGCGTGGAGCAGTCCAAACCCTAAAGAATACATGGCCTGCCCTTTTTTTGGAGCACTGGGATAAGTTTAATGTCTCTTACAGACAATTTACATGAAAGATGTCTCTAAACAGAGCTTTTTCACAAAGGTTTGACACAGCTGTAGCAACTCTCATCACCCTTGTATAATTCCTGCAGCTAAAGCTTTCCAGTAAAAGCTCAAAAAAAAGGTAAACAGATCTTTGTGGAGTTCCTTGACCAGACCCTTCAGGCTTGCGATGCACGTGGCGATGTGCTGCTGTCCTTCCCAGCCTGCAAACCAGCTGCGCTGGGGGAGGGCTGTCACCTACCTCTGTGTTTCACCATCTTTCAGCATCGCTTTTGTTTTCAGGGTGATCCAAATGCCACTTTACTGCTGATCATTTGGATAGAAACCCACGCAACATCCAGTGGGGTCAGACCAAATCATCCAGAAAGCTGTCTGGCTGCTGGCATGAGCAGATGCTTCAGGAAATGTGCAAGAAAAGGGCAAATTCAAGCTCATCCTTCCCCAGGCAGAGGCTTCCAGCTTCTGACAATCCGAGCTGAAGGATGTCTTCATAATGTTGTCTTTAACATCCCTCAAGAGTCTTTTCTGATCTCAGTCTGCCCGATCACAGTTGGATTGTGTGTTGCTTTTGGCCTTCCCAGCACCCCTCTAGCTGTCAGTGCCATGCCTCAATTACATCTCTTTGTTTTAAATTTATTGCCTGGGTAACTGAAAATAAAATACAATTAAGCAAGATACCGGGCCCTGAGAAACATGAGAAATAGTAAATAACCCTGCTGTGTTATGAGACATTATGTTGCGTCTTCTCTACGACATTCAAGGGTATGTTTCTGTTTAACCAATCTTCCCCCTGAACTTATGCAGTAAACTTTTAAACTTGTTTATGCTTTTGCCACCTAAGTATCTCGCAGCAACAACTTCCTTGGGCAAGACTGTGCTGTTCGTTTCTTTCAATTTGTTTTAAATCTCCTCCTTGATTAATTCACCAGGTTTCTACTTCCACTGTCAAGAACAGCGAGCAGCACTTCTGTTTATGCCTTTCCCAGCCATTTGTGGTTGTACAGCACGCTGTCCACCTTGGCCCCAGCCATCTCTCTCCAGACTGAAGTGTCCCAGTCTGTTTAATAATAGATTGCTGCTAAACTTAACCATTGCTGCTGGAAGAAGTGGTGAGTATAAAGGCACTTTCTGTGGTTGCTCTCAGGGTTTCGTTTTTCTGTTTCATTGACCTTAGACATAATGTCTTTCTGGAGAGTATTTGGGTCAAAGGAATGTAAGATACTGGGAAAAAAAAAATGCAAAAGTACGTGCAAAGAAAGTATATTCCCAAGTGTTTTGGGGAGGGGAGGAAGTGAACTTTATTTGTGTCTGCAAGAAACGAGATGTGAGAAATGTATTCTTAATTACGTGCAAAAGTAGCACATACAAGATATTGTTAGGCACTCATCTGCAATAATCACAAATCTTTATTTTTTATTAATGAACTTGGATCAGAGATGGAGCTGCGCTATATGTTAAGGGAGCTATTTTTTTTTTCCCTGTTGACGTACCTTTAAAACAAGGGAAAAGATAGAAAATGGAAAACATCAATATCTCTGATTTGCAAACCAAAGGGAAGGTTAAGATGGAAAAGTTTGAATCAAAACACACCGAGACCTTTTGTGCAGTGCAGATCCAGAAGTTATTTGCTTGCAGAGGAATTGCTTACTTGCTAGACAGGCAGAAATTACATTTCAAATATTACACAGTGACTCGGCATTGCTTTATATTGGCCTGCATTATAATGGAAGAAGAATTACTTACTATTATGACTTTTAAAAGAAATGAAATTCCACGGAGAAGCTGATGGAAATCTTACCTCTGGATGGGTAACGTGTGCACAAAGGGTTTTTTTAAATGTAATTCCAAAGTTCTTTCCCTCTTTACTCCTACAGAACATTTTTCACTGTTTCTCTACATTTTGCCAAAATTTGCACTGCTTCAGCTCTTGAGATAAAATGGGGACAGATCTTGTTCTGAACATTTCCCAGAGTTGTTTAGCCCATGGTATGCTAACATATTAGAGAAACTGCTAGTGTTGGCTGCTGTTTCTGATTCAGTGATGAAAACACGTTAAGGTTCTACTTAGGAGTTGAATGAGCAAGCAAATCTTCAGCTTGTCATAGCCCTATAATTCAGATACAAGTGATCCCTTGGTTTGTAATTGCCAACTTCACAATTTTCATGAACATTTGTGCATTCATCTTTCCTTCATGAGCTGCTCACAGCCAAGTTACCTTGAGTATCTGATCATCCCATCTACAGTGCCTCGGTTCCTGTGCACCATGGCGTACAGCTTCCTGGCTATGTCACGCAGCCCTTGGACAAAGACGTATTTTTGCCAAGTATAATGGTCTAAGTTGTTTGCCGTGGTTACTGACACAAGGTGATTTGGGCTGTGGGCCTGACGGATGGGCAGGTTGGGCAGGACATGAATAGCAATGTGCCCATCTTCAACCTGAACAGCTGTGCCTGTCCTCACCCATTTGAAAAAACGATGGGAATAGGAGCACAGGTAGGGCCTTAAAACAAGTTGTTTAAACTTTGCAGATATTCTTATTTCAAACTGAGAGGCATTCAGTTCATCTCAGCTCTGACTCCAGTGATTTCTCCCCCCTTTGAGAAACAGTGAATGTTGTCCATCGAAAACAAACATTTTGGGTTTAGAGACCTGTGTGTATTTGATAGTCCACTCTCTACCAGAAAAAAAAAAAAAAAAGTATTGAACAACTCTAATTGAAGGCCTGAGGAGAAAGCTGAAAGGGATGAAAGAGGCCTTACTGAACATTAACACTGTCCAGGAGGACAGCTCTGGCACACTCATGTTGATAGGCAGTTACAGCCCCTAACTGTCAATGCTAATATGCCATGCAGAGAGAAATGTCTCCCGTTCCACCTTGGAATGCATCAGTGATGTATTTGAAACATACCCATCACCAGAGAACACAAGTATGAGAAGCATTTTGTTTTGCAGCAACAAAAAAGATAAAACATTGCAAAAGGTTTCCAAGCAAGCTCTATGGTGAATCATAGCTGCCATGAGGAAGATCTAGAAAAGACAGGAAAAGCTCCAAAAGGAAAAACAAACAAACAGACAAACAAAACAGGGGGAAAACCCCTGCTAGAAGGAGTTGCAGTAATTCTGGAACTAAATGCTGCAGAGGGGAACAGCCAAGAAGGATGAAGAAAGGTTTCCCGAGGCCTCGGGGTGAGCAGTGAGGATGGTATGATGAAGAAAGAATGTGCTGGAGATCCCTGGCTTCACCTCCTACCTTTCCTTCTGGTCACAGAGTGTCCCTGAGGAGGTCAGAGGCTTTTCTGCACTTTGTTTTGATGGGATGGGATGGGATGGGATGGGATGGAATGGAATGGAATGGAATGGAATGGAATGGAATGGAATGGAATGGGGCAAGCGTGTTCCTTGACAGATCTCGTCCTCCTCCAGGGTTATCGATCCATTTTTAGGCTATTTCTCTTCACAAAGCAGACTCACAGCCTGCAGAGCCCGATTGAGCAACTACCCACTGGTCCCCCCAGGTAACACAAGAATCCTTTTGTTTTCAGGCGCACTGACAGAAGGCTGAGGTTTCAGCAACGTGCTGTCCCTACAGGCTTTGAAAAAATAAGGGACAAAGTAGAGAAGAACGACCTTCTTAGCTTCTCCACCAAAGGAGTGCCTACAAAAGCTGGGCTGCTGTTTGGCAGCAGAAAACCCACACGGACGAGACCCTCCTCGGGCCTCATTGCTTCTGCTCCATAGGGACTCGCTCAGGTGCTCACTGCATTTTCTTGTCTCTTTATAGAGCTAGCACTCTGCTGTAATAGGGATAATGATATATTCTGCCTGAAATAGGATGCTTACGAGAGCCTAGCTTGAAATAAAGATTATAAAAATGTAATGTCTGGCAATTGTAATATCATCCTCAGAGTAAGAACGAGAGACAAACAGATATATAGGTAGGCAGACAGATAGATTTCTTAATTGAACTCCCTGCTTGGCTGTGTTTCCTTTAGGCAAGTACCACAGATGAGTAACAATAAAGGATTGCAAGGAAGAACATGTAGGGTTTTTTAACAAATTTGATTTATCTTAGGAAAGCTTTTACATTTCATCAGTCTGTACTGAAAATCCCTAAATAATTCAAAGCATTCAAATGGTCTAATGTTAACAGAATAGCACTGCTCACAGGTGCTTAAAAGTGGAAAACAAGGTAACCATTTCCTCTTTTAAAATACTAATAATATTTCACTTCCCTGCTCCAGAATATTTAATATCATATATAAATCAATAGCTACCCCACTATCTGTCAACAAATAAAAAATTACATTTGCACCTATCCCCAGATGCTCAGAAAGCATTTATTCCAGTCATTTAATCACAAAGCTGTTATTGCAGGGGAAGTTCAAGCAGACATGAATACATGGAGCCAAAAATAGAGAGCTGTGCTGAGGACTTCACTGCAATAGCAGTCTCTTCCAAAGCAAGCTGTTTCCCACTTTCCCAGGAGATGTAGTAGGTATCTCTTCACTTCTCAAAACAATAACTGGTATGGTAAAGCTCAGTCAAGCAAAGCAAAACTTCACTCACTTTGCTTTTCACAGTCAACATCCAAATGCAACAGGGAACCCTTGTTGATCTGATCAGGAAATCTCTCTCTCCCTCAAAGGACCTGGAGTCCCCAAATGTCTTCATGCTGGGGCCTCCATCGGAAAAGGAATTGCATAACAAGACCCATCTGCCTCTGTAGAAAAATGTGCTCAGGTTGGATGAACACTCTTCTTCTATGCTTTTCTGAATGGACCTACATATGGGAAAAGTGAAAATACCCCTCTTCAACCCATAGAAGCCTTATCTTACTGAAAGCAGCAGCACTCCCCTCCCCAGTTTCTCACTGTCCTTTTGATGCTACTTGCCTGCTATTTGGAGATCGGATACTTAGGCATAAGTGTGTGCATGTGCGTGTGTGAATACACATACAGACACCACCTAAGATTCAGAGGAAGAGTGCAGAATTGACATGAGAGGAGCAGCTTCTTATTCACTGGCATTAACACTGTCTTCCTTCTGCACATCTGTGAAAGCCTCGGAGCAGAGATGACTGAATTAGGCTACACCTAAGTCAAAATACTTAACAAATATTAATTAAATAGACCTCCTTCCCAACTCAATGAGAGCTATCCTTTTTGTCTGCAAGAAGTCTGGATGCCCAGAGTTCAGAAAACAGAGTGGTGATACGTTCTCCCAACTCCCCATCCCATGCAAACCTGTTCTTCCTTCCAGACGGGCTGAGTATGTTTACCAAGCCTTTACCTTTGTTTTTTTCTCACCTTCCATCCCCACAGGGAGCCCTCAAGCATGTATTTATTTGCACTTTGAACCTGTGCTTGCTTGCACAGAGATGCTTCAGCTCAGGCTGGGACCTGACTGCTTTAAGGGAGACAGAGACAAGGTTGTCTGAGTGCCAGTAAAGCTCCAGTGCCTTTGCCTGGCATTCCACCCCATTGCTCAAAGTTCTACTGCAGCTGATACCAGCAAGCAGGAAAGAATCCTACAATAATTCAGAGTGATGCATGTGCAGCCCAAATGCCCGTGGGAAAGTGCAAAAAAGTGCAAAGAGACTGGTGCAGGCTAAGCTTCACTTTCCACAGCACAAGCAGCTTCATGCATATTCTAATGCATGCTGTTAATGTTTCTGAGTGTGAGAATGGCTTATTATGTCAGATTTAGTTCTGGGAGTAGTCTTGCATCCTTTAAATGCTGGGTTAAAGAAAATGCTGATGTATATATGTGTGTGTAAATACATATGTCTGGCCCTCTGAAAAATAACAGCCCTGAGATGGATGGACTGATAGGTTCAAAACCTGATGTAAGTGGATATTTGGGTGGCACCTCTCCATCTCAGCCCCAAGGAAGATGCTACAGCTCCCTGTGCACTGCAGCTCTTCGTGCTGCTCCCACATACCTAGGCTACGGGCTTAGGAGAGCCACCATGACTTTGGGAGGCTATTCCAGCCCAAGAGGGCAAAATCAGCCAAGTTCAGTATGACCCAACCCCAGCCCAAATCCACTCTTCAGGTAGCAGATCAAGACTAACTCTATTTGCTCAGAAACTGCATAGATCTGTCTGCTTGTGGGATTTGTGCCAGTCTGATGAAGGGGTTGGCTCCTATCCTCAGCTGAACTCTCATGGCTCAAAGTTGTGCTGGTTTTTCTGTGTCCTTTGGGGTGAAAAATGTCTTGCAGCTGCTGCTTAAAATTATTTCCCTTATGTTTCAACATTCTCCAGATCAATGTCACCTAAAGCAGTGCTCTGAGAGACTGCAATTATGATTGCCCATCACCAACAACCAGACTAAAAATAAAGAGCCACAGTATGAGACTGAGAGAGAAGCAATACAACCTCTGGCAAAACACATCCAATGCTGAAAAGGCCTCACCCCTCCAGTCTTGTCCTCTCCATGCTGAAAGAAGCTTCCATCCGAAAGCATCTCTTTCCAATGCCATCAAGATTGTGTGTAGAAAGCAGCAGCTGAGCTGACCTGTCTCTTTCTTAATTGCCAGTTTTCAGTGGCCGTGAAGTATTGTCCAGTCAGTAAATATGGTGGAGAAAAAGAGAAGTCAGTGAGGCATTTATTTGCCTCTTGGAGGAACTTGGAAACATGCTACCAAATACTTGTTTTTGACCCAAGAGCTAACAGATCGTGTTTTTTTCTCTTGTTTCAGCTTATGTGGAGGTGAATTGGGATGAAAGGATGTGCAAAAGAGGTGGAAACCCAAGGAAGACATTGGCCGAGGAGAGCTTCATTTCCTGCCTGCCAAGAAGGAGGGAGAGCAGCAACGCTTTAGGAGTAACTGAGGTGTGGGTAAGGGAAGGAGACAAGGTATCTCAAATTGATCTCCACTGCAAATTCAGAACTGAGACCTCAAAGTTTTGCCTGGTATATACCAAGTTCTGCATATTATATTTGAGATGGCCTGAAATATTAATTTCCTTTCTTCCTAATTAGTATTTAGATTTCATGAAGAATCAGTTCATTTGTCAAGCTGACCTTGCCCAGAACAGAGTCTTGAGATGTATCATTTATGTGCTGCCAGCAGCACCCGTATTTGAGTTAAGTGGAATTATTTTGTGGCATCTGATCCATGAGTTCCACCAGAGTGTTAGGGCCAATCCTAGCCTTGACCCAAAAGCCTACTTCACATTTTTGCAAGTTTCCCAAGCTCCATCCTGGGCACATTGTGTCCCTAGTGTCCTGCACCATCCACATAGAACTGATCAAGGCAGGAGAGCTGCAAATCACGTTGTATTCTCGTTTGAATGAAAGAATTCCCAGTTAAAACCACAGCATTCAGGCTGATTTGATAACTTGTTTGTCCCGCTGTTTTTTAGGAGATTACAGAGCTATAAATATGTGTTTTCAGGGGAGGACTTAACTGCCAAGAACAAGCAGCTGATGTTATATTATTAGATTCAAGACTAGAAAGAAGAGTCTAGACATTCCCTTATTATGAAAATAAGAATTGTTACTTAGCATTTCTTCTCTGTGCTGTGAAGTGATAAATATGATCAACGCATCTAATATCTCAAGACAAGACTCATTCTCATCTTCAGCTTTCTGCTCCCTGGAATGTTTTATGTGGGTCCACACAATTGATGACGCGTCTCCCGGGGGAAAAAAACCTAAAAATAACATATACAAAATTCATAAGTATTTTACAAGAGACTCCTTTTTCAACATGGGGATTTCAGGCACAACAAGAGAAGGAAGCATCATGGCTGAGTTAGGGAAGGAAGGGAGAAAGTTGACTTATTTAGTTGATCTAGTAAAAGCTCCTTTACCCATGGGCCGTTGATGCATTGTGCCTACAAAGAGCTTTCCTGCATATTTACCTGGCTACATGTATTGCAAAGAGCACTGGGGTTGCAGCCCTGTGGATTGGTGGGCCCACGTGTGTGGTATGAACAGGCACAGCTCTGTTTATTTAATGCCACTGGAGCCACACACATTGGTATTCCAACCCCCAAAGATTTGGAAAAAAACAGCATGTGATGCCCATCACCAAAGAGATTTGGTTGCTTGTTTTTTGTGATGAGGAGTAAGTTGTTCCACATAAATAGCTTACTGCTTTGTAAACGCTCCAGAAGCAAGGGCCTGATCCAGGTTTATCTGCTGCTAGCACTTCAGGCAGGTTGGCTGAGTCCTTACTCGTGCTTGCCAGACTATATAATTGTCAAATCTTACAACGACCAGTGTTTCTAGTCATATTTTATCCTAGAACATGGCTATCAGCTCATATCTATGCCTTATTTACACTGGAATTTAAAATCATATATGCAAACATATGCTAAATCCCTAGCTAAATCCAAGCGACAGCATACATTAAAACATCTTGTCCAGGATATTCTGCAGCTCTGAACTGCAGCATGATCCACAGCAGGCTCTGAACCAAGACACAGCAGCTGAAGCAGCACAGGTGAGACGTACTTTGCAGAGCTGTGGCACCTTCCAGTGTACTCACAATGAAGGCACAGCAGTCCCACAAGGATACACCATGCTGGCATCTGCTCTCAGCATGCCCAGTGAAGCACGGAGGAGGAGCTGCCAGAGAAGCAGGAAATTCTGCCTACTGGAGTGTTTTCTAATTAGTACCATTTCTGGAGGTAGAGCACATAATCCCAGGGTTCAGGACTGACCTGATTACTGGAGGAATGCAATGTCTATCCCTGGTTGCCCACAGTTTTTCTGACTCTGGAATATACTTATTATATGCCCACGTAACTGGCCTGTACCATTTCTCACTAGGAAATAAGCCAGCAGCCTGGGAATTGCCTTTGCCCAGGCAGAGAGGTTGGGTGGGGTATCTGTACCCAGGCACCATAGTCACATAGACGCAAGAACAGATGAGCATGGCAGTCTGCCTGCCAGGAGATAGAGGAGGCCTTACAAATCAAGGTTTTCTATGATTCCATCATTAACCCATATGCCTGCACCCCTGCAAGTGCTCCAGAAGCCAGGACCTGCATGGGATGTGCTCCAGTCCCAAAGAGCTCTCGCTCCTCACAGCACTGCAATGAAAAAGACAAGCACGCCATGCTTCACAGCCCTCATCCCAGCAGTCGGGTTTCATCACATCTGTCTGAATGCACTGATAATGTCCCAGAGAAAGGCACAGAAGGCAGCACCAGCATATAAGGCAAAGCACTGCAGAGCCCTTCCTCCTTTCCTGACGCAGCCAGCGCAGCCAGAGGAGGCCGTGTACATCTTATCTGGGATGCCAGAGTGTTGCCTGCATGAGCAGAGGCCTGCACTATCAGAAAACAGGCTATTTTTGTTTTGTTAGCTCACCCCCTGAGCTGGGGGTGACCAGTTCTGCAGGAGCACACAGTGCACAGCAGTTGAGGATTTCGGGCAGTGCAGTGTGTCACCCTGCATCCTCACTGGTCCTGGCAGCAAAGCAGAACAAGCTCAGTGCAATGAGCCATGTGTCACTGCTGTAAGATCATTTAAAGCTTCTTCTTTTTTCGGCCTAAACTGCTAAGCTACTAACTTGTATTTTTTATCCCATGCACCAGAGAAGAGAGGGAGTGCAGCAGGGGCAAGTAGATGTAGAATCTATGATTTTAATAGCAGGATTATTTTAATACATTGAATAAAATTCTATTCCATTTAAAAAGTCGATAACTTACCACATTTTTTGCACACTGCACTAAAAAAATCCACGCAGTTGAAGCAATAATTTATTCTTTGACAACAGGAAACAGCTGATAAAAGAAAATCTCTTTTGTTTTGGGTTTGCAGACTATTTCCCATGTGTTGTGTTTTCTTTGGCTGTCTCTCCAGTATCCGCTGGTAGAGATGAGAAGGAGGGGAAAGCAAGGGTGTTGCTCCAAACACAGGACCCCTGGACGCTATTCTCCTTCATATAAAGTTAGCAAGGGTTCTCCTGAACCATTTACCTTCTCACCAGTGTATTTAAAATGACTTGTATGAGCCTTTAGCATGGCTCCAGAAACTCTCTGGAAACAAATCACAAGTGTCCAAAGAAAAGACCTGCTAGGAAGTCCATAGGAACATATGGAGACAGGAACAACAACAAAAAAAGGAATAGCCTAAATAAACCGGTGCACGGCTTCTCTCACGTGTTACTCTGCAAGCCTTTTGTGCTCAGCCGACGTCTCTGTTTCCTGAAGGAAGCACTCCTCAGTGATGGTCACCGAGGGCACCGGCAGTCTGGCCTCCCTTTCCTTCAGCCATGTGCCTTGTCCACTTGGCTGCACAGTCAAATGAGGCCGCGGAGTTGTCCCTTCTCAGTGCTTTAGGTGAAGGATTATGGTGTGAAGAATTGCTCCTGTCACTGGAGGAACAGCATCACTACTAAGTCTTGCATTCATGTTTTCAATCTTTTATTTCCCCTTGATAACCATCCAGGGGTCTTGGTGTTGGAAAATATCAGGATATCAGATCTTTCCTGTCCAATACTGCATCCATATCTGGGCCCCTCAGCACAAGAAGGACCTGGAACAGTAGGAATGGTCCAGAGGATGGCCACGAAGATAATCAGAGGACTGGAATACCTCTCCTATGAAGACAGGCAGAGGGAGCGGGTCTTGTTTTGTTTAGAGAAGAGAAGGCTCCAGGGAGACCTCATTGTGATCTTCCTGTACTTCAAGGGAGCACACAAGGAGGTAAACCAACTTTTTACACCATCTGTTAGAGACAGGATAAAGGGGAATGGCTTTAAACTAGAAGAAGGGAGATTTAGGTTAGATGTTAGGAATAAATTCTTTACTCAGAGGTTGGTGAGGCACTGGCACAGCTGCCCAGAGAAGCTGTGGTGCCCATCCCTGAAGGTTCCCAAGGGCAGGTTGGATGGGGCCCTGGGCAGCCTGCTCTGGGGGGGGTGGCAGCTCTGCCCATGGCACAGGGGTGGATCTAGGCTCTCTTTAATGCCCCCTCCAACCCAAACCATTCTGCGATTCTATGGTTCAATATTTCCTGCAGCCTGAAGAGGAGATGAGGAATCTGAAAGCCTGTCTGTGCTTCCTGAGTCTCAATGAGCTATGGCAAAAACTACAATCTTAGTGTACAGGTGGAACCACCAGAAGGTTCTGCTGAAACATTTGTATTTTGTAGGCTTCAGGGGTTTCAAATGCTGTGATGATGATGAAATAACTGCGCCATGTATTTAAAATTGCCTGAGATTTCCACTGTAGACCTTAAACACAGCGCTAAATAGGGCAAACAAAAATAGCTGTTACTTTGACAAGAGCTTATTTAAAGCCTGTTTTGTCAGCGTTGCTGCCCTGGTTATGACAGGGAAGTTGACTAGAAATTGCATAATTACCAATATTAAGTGCAAAAGCAAAACAGCAGCACAGAATTCAGTAATGGAACAGGTCACATTTGGCACGGCTGTCGCAGACTTTACGAGGCTCTATCTCCAACCATGACCTCGGGAAGCACCATGCTGCTGCTCCTCCTTCTCTGTCAGCCCGTGGGTCACTCCGCTCTGGGCACACAGGGTGTGGGCCTGGGCAGGTGATAAGGAAAAAGGGTGTGAAAACACCAGGGGCTCCTTGCTGCACATGGTACGGTTTGTGATAAGCTCAGCTGTTCTGTGGGATGAAAGTAGGGGCTATCAGTGCGATCGGTTGTTCGGTCAGGGTGAGGGAGGCAGTGCCGCCTGCTCTGCGCTGCCTTTCTCCACACCCCTTTCCCTCCCAAGACTTATTGCATGCACTGGGGCAGGTCTCTACCAACAAACACTGGTTCTGCTTGATGTGTTTAATCTGTAGCTCAGTATCGATCTGCTCTGCTCTGCTTTGCTTACTGTCAGAAAAACAGGGAAGCTGAGCAGGGAGCTCTGGCTTGCCTTTCTGTCCAGGCCTGTAGTTCCAAACGCACATTTCCCTCTGTGGATATGCTGGGTGCTGAGGCAGCTCGCTGCGATTGACAGGTTTGCATTTA